TCTTCTTCAATAAGAATCTATTTTGATTATCAAGACAAGATATTAGAATTAAATGTATGAACTACAGTTAAAAAAAAGACAGGTGTAAATTCACATTCTGTGATTTTCATAAATTGAAAAATAAAAACTTCAAACATCTTTTTTTGTTTGATACGATATGAGACAAAAAATTATTTCAAAAATATTCATAAAAACGATTCGTAAAATTTCAATATAATTTAATCGAATAGATGTACATTTTTTTTCTTTGATCAACATTGACATATGAGAAATTAATTACTTGAATCGTATCTTGAATTATAGATCTAAAGCATATATCATAATCAAAATTATATCGACATAAAACATTATTTTCATACATTTTGTAAAAATGATAAATATTAAAATAATTCTATCTTATATTGTATTACATAGTTCTTCTATTTAAGATTGTTGAAAATCGCAGGTTATGTTAGATGTTACTATCATTCACTCCTCTTTAATTCTAACGTTAGACATTAGTTTCATGTTACATTGATAAGAGACATTGACATATCACATATGTTTCTTTTTTTCTTTTATTATAAGATTCAATATATTTCAAACTTATATATATATATGTTTGATTTTTAATGTTGTACTTATCTCATCTGTTTACAAGGTTGTATTATATCTATTCTCAAATTGTTGACAAACACATTGTGTTTTTTCATCAAACAATTATCATTGATATCTTGAAAACAGATTGAGAATCAATTTACAACAATAATAAGAAAACAAAAAATATATTAGTTTGTATAAAATGAATTAAAAAATAATAATAATACTGTCAATTTTTATGTTTATCTTTGATAGAAATTATCAATCCATGTATCTAATTCATTTAAATCATAAGCATATGTTGTTTCACCTGGTTCAGCTTTAAATATCAGTTTTCCATTATTAATAATATAAAAACGAAATGGCCATGAACCATAAGTTTTATGAAATGTATTATCCATACTATCAACAAGCATAAGCATTTCAAAATTATATTTATTTTTAAATTGACATGCATTTTCTAAACGTTGTTCTAATGTTTTTGGTTGATCAACACATGAAATTGTTTTTCCAGCTGGCCATTGATCACGTGCATGCGCCTCGGCAATATAAATTGTCAATAGACGCATATTTGGCGAATGTGAGCGAAATAATTGACTAAATATATTAAATTTAAGATAATAATCTATAGAAATAAAAATTAATTTACTTTAATCGCTCGACAGACGCCAAAAATGGTGGTCAAGTTGTTGAACCAGCAAAAATTATTAATGGTTGTTCGGAATTTATTTGTGAAAAAAGTGTAGTAGATTCACCATTCAATGTAAAAAGTTTAACATCAATTGCATATTGTCCTTGATTGACAAGACCTTGAGTGATTTTATTATGTTTAACTAAAGAAAAACTTATATATATTATAATAATAATTAAATCGTTTTTTATTTTACTTACCATAAAATGCTTCTTTAATAATTGGATCATTTGGAAAACGTGATATAGCTGTTCGTAATGCATTTACATGTCGATATCCAAAATGTTCAACAACATGTTGTTGAACTAAATCGAGTACCATTCTATTTATTTTTAAAAATTTTGAATTCATAATAATAATAATAATAATAAATCAACTTACGTTATAGCATTATCATCTTTATGATATAAATCGAAAAGTTGTTGAATAGGATCTGACAAACGTAAAAATGTTTCATATTTAATCATTTGACGAACAATTTCCAATGATGGTAAATCATCACTTAATATTTGTTGTTTTTCTGATGAACAAAAAAAAGGAACATTAGGATACAAACTATTATTAACATCCGGTGGTTTGTCTATTGCATCCGCCATTTGTAAAGCAATGTAATAAGAAATAAAAGTATATGTAAGGTAACAAAAAAACAAAAATTACATGAAAATATTACTAATGTGTTGTGCAATTTCTTTGCAAAAAAAAAAAACAAAGAAACTCAAGTACACATACATATGAAAATGAAAGAAAAATGAATTGATGTGACGCATTGAGTAATCATTATGATTCACAATAATGATGTGTTCATATTTAGAGGCTTCTTTGATTATTGCACAATAAAATATATACAAAGATTAACATGAATTAGATATCATGAAAATAAAATCATTGTTCGAAAGATCATAATATTAAATTAAATTGATTTGGATCTATTCCATACCTCACTCAAACCATGTTTTTTTTTCAAGATCATATTATGTTTATTTTTATTAATAAAATCATATGTACATATTGAAGTTCTAGACTTTATCATAAATACATTGTAATTTGAACCATGTTAAAGCTTCTTTTGTTTTTCTTTGATTTAACCTAGAGAACATAATCATATGTTTAATATTAATACAAAATAATGACCTTGTGAAACATCACGAAGTTCCTTGAAAGTCAAAAATAAAGGTAGCTAAGCAGCATGATTTTTCAAATTTATATGTTGAAATGTGTCTCTTCGTTTTTTATTTCTAAATGACAGGAAATATTTCTGCATAGAATTTTGTTCATATGAAATAAGTAATTAGTGTAGAAAATACACGAGAGAAAACCTATTCCGGTCTATTCCGACCTCATTACTAGAAGTTTGTGTCTCTGTCTTCAGTTATTCTTATGAATTCGGATGTTCTCTGAAATTGTACTCGGTAATGATCAATGACCGGTTTCCTTTAATAAATGATTTCTTATGAATCGAAGTTAATATTATTTTTTTTGAGATTTTGAATGATTTTTTTATTTACTTTTATATCAAATTATTTTATCAAAATAAAATTGAATATTTATTTATGATTGTAATTTATTATTTGCATTTCTTGTAATTTATAGCATATATTTCATACAGATATAACAGATAACGAAATAAATAAAATATGAGAAGTAGATAAAATATACAGTCGTGCTTGACAAACATTTAATTAATAAACAAGACTTTAGCCCTATGAATGCATTTCTTCATTAAAAGAAGTCAAAAGAGGGAGAGACAACATTATAGTAATGAAACAATGTTCCTATTTAATTACTATGTAATGATTAAGAGGTACTTGTGATTAAGTTAGAGTTTAATTTGATTGTTATACGATCAACAACAAAAAAAAATGAAGAATAGCTTATGCTGATCTACTGATCGTTTCTCATGAATTTCTCGAAATAGGACTTCACTAAGAGATGATAAGTTCTATTAGATGGACATCACGTTACAAACCATTGTAAATAAATCAAAGAGTAATATAAGTAAGAAACAGTTCAATCGAAATTCGCAGATATTCTCAGTTATTTAAATCTAATCGCACTATTTCAGTAATTAATTTAAAAACATAAAACATATTAAGGATACTTTATATAGATAGATAATAACCGAGGAAATGTAATTGAAATTAAGTAAATTAAAGTATATCAGAAAAAGAAAAAGATTATTTCTGTTTTGTTTTCATATTGAAATCTTATTCATAGCCTAACAAAAAATCAGTGAATATTCAACTATATCAGATCGTTTTGTATTTATGAATACAATCGAGTATATCGACTATAATTTTTATTTAGTTATATTTAATCTAATAAATAAAATAGACGATTTCTTGATTTGTAAGAATCTTTTTAAATGAGTGAAATTCTCTTTTTTTACGACTATCAATATATTTCGAACTAGACAAACAAAAACATGTGATTAAGTACCTTCAGGTACTTTCTATAGTTTTATTATTAGAACAAATTCAAAAAAAAATGAAATACGATCTTTTCGGAATATAAAACAACTCATATCTTCAGGCTTACAAAAGTAATCCTTGTAATGAATACAAATAAAATAACCTATGGTTATTATTCTAACATAAACAATACTTTAGAAAAAACAAAGTACGTATTTTAACATAGTAAACAAATAACTGAAGTCTTTAGTATCGTTTATACGTTATTTGAAAACATACTATTCTATTGAAATTTAACTGATACAGTTAAATACTAGACAGTATTTGCTTTTGGATCTATTTCTCTAGTCCATTAAGAGTAATTTTCTTTTTTTGTATTTTAATCAACTACGGAAAGTAAATTCTCATTTCGTTAAAAACATAAATTGTGTATGTTGCATGCTTATGTTCATTGTCGCTATTTTTATCTGTTATTGATAAATAAATGGCTAGTTTTTCACTTCGATAATTATTACTTTCATCTAAATTATTATCAAAATCTGATGTAAAATAATATAATAGTCATATTATCTTAAAACATTCAATATTTTATTCGCATTTTCTCTTCTGGAAGGAGAAACATCTATTTCTGGAAGTATAGACATGTAATATGTGGTATAATTGTCATAAAAACCTAAATGGATAGCACGACCTTCGACTCAAACAATGAATAAAATATTACACATATTTACAGATAAATCATTTAATTATAATATATTATTTTTTTATGAAAAGTAATTTACAAGTGTTGTAAATATTTTGCTTTTAATTTTCTTAATTTTATTTTAATATTGATAATAAATGAATTGTTTTTATTTAACAATATATTCATTTTTTGAGTATTTTATTTCATTTAATATTAAATTTTTCTGACATATCTATAAGTTACAACTATTCTTCTTAAAAATTCAATATCTCAATAAAGGAATATTCTTTTCGACTGAAACTTTTAGGATATTCTCAGAATTATATGTAGGCCAAATTTCATATCGAAATTTTTCAGTAAATATTAAAAACTTCGAATGAATTACGCTAACAAGCTTTATCTTTACAAATAAAAACTAAACTTTTTCTAGACTATCTACTTCTCATAGTTTTATACGAAAAGAAATTTTTCGTAAGGCGATGACATTTTTTTTTTATTTCTTTTTATTTAAATCATAAATATAATAAAAATTATAGTCCATCATCTCAACATTATTGAGCAAAAAAACATTTTTTCGAATTAAGAGTTCAATAGAAACAACAACAACGACAAAAATAAGAAATAAGAAAATAACTCATCACAGAATGCTACAGATGGTACAACTGGCAATACTATTATCAACATTTGGTTGTGGATGATAATTTGACATGGGACCAAGACGATGTTCCAAATGAACCGAACTACGTATTTGAAATGGTTGATTTAAAGATGTACCAACAGTTGGACCAACATTAGCAGCTGTTAAAACAGGTTCAATAGGTCGTATACGATGATCACTAACATCAATTTCATTATCATCATAATCATAATCATCATCACTCATACTACTATTAGAACTGTCATTTGAATTAACTGAATCAACATTTTGACGACGATTATTTCGTGCTTGTTTTGCTTGTCGAGCTGTTGTTAATACAGCTAAAGCTGATGATGGATGATTTGCACCACGTTGATCAATAGACGAAGAATGTACTAATCGATGAAATGTACTTGGTGATGATGATATAGTATGACGCGAAACAATCGATGCTATCTCATTATATCGTGCTTGTAAATCAATTGCTTTACCACTACCACCATGTCCACCGGCACCTATGAACAAATTATTATGAGTTATTAATAAAATCTATGCATTTCCAATAGGAACATCAGATTATCACCAATCAAGAGAAAAAACTCAGAATGTAGTCATTCACTACTCAAAATGAGACTTGGTAGAGAAAAGTCTTCTCTTTCGATTCGTTCATGGCTAATTTTGAGACCCACATTTCTGTCAATTAATCTGTAATCGTCTACAGAAACAACTAGGTCAGAGATAACTCATTGTGCTGAATCGAATGGTAATATTTGTCTTTTAAGTTCCAACGGATCTAACACTGTTATTTTTATTTTTCTTAAATATATCGACTCCTTCGTTATATATGCAAATTAATTGAGAAATATTAGAATCACCATTGCGGATGATCATAAGGCAATCGAGAATGTTAGAAAAAAACTAGGAACGTCAGCTTTGAGCAAATCGATAGAGAAGAATCGGCAAATTTTTACCTTTTAAATCTACATAAGTTAATTGTGAAAGAATTAAACTTGCTGCACCAACTGGTGGCCATGGTGTTGATTCAAACATAACTGGTACAATAGGTTTTTTAAGCATATCAGCTAAGATTAATTCACGTTGACACATATTTGAAACAATATACATTGGTGTTATACAACAGATTAAAACCTAAATAAGAAAGAAAATTTTCACAAAAAAAACCTTTATATATTATGTTTTTATTTACTTTAGCATTTCGTATTCCATGATCAATTTTTTCATATAATAATTCTCCACCACCAATTTGTCCCATATCCATCCAACAAGTAAAACCAACAAGTTCTAAAAAATTTCGTAATTCTTTAACTTCATCTTGTATATCCCATTGATAACTAATAAAAACAGATGGTAATGGATATTGTGTTTCTCTTTCACGTAATATTATTTCAACTAAATCATCACGTCCAATTTGTTTCATTGTTGCAAATAACATATCAACAGCTAATGATGAATTTCCAGTACGAACAATCCAATCTGTAATTAATTGTAAACTTGGATTACGACTTAAAGAAAATTGATCAATAACAGATTGTTGATAACCAAGTTTTTTTGCTAATATAATCCACGTACGATTTTCACTTGATGATTTATTTAAATTTATATTTATTTCTGATGTTGATAATAATTTAGCTGTTGAACGTATCCATCCAGGTAAATTTGAATCTTCAAAAAAATGATTCATAGATTTTTGATCATATAATATATCAATTATTGGTACAACACGTGTTGTTGTAAGTTTTGGAAACCAACTACGATATTGATTTGTTGGTACACGACGAAATGAACATTCAACAATCTTTATAAAAAAAATTAAAAAAAAATTTATCATGAAGAAAACAGAGTAAAAATTATTCACTTACAGGATTTGAAAGACAATGATCAAGATTAAGAAAATGTAAACATGAGTTATTTGAACAATAAGGAGTTTTATGTAAATCGCATATTTTTCCACACGGACATACCACTTTACATTGAAATGTAAGTCGACGCATCCATGTAGATTTGATTTCATTAAGTAATGATTCAAGAAATTTACGTACCTATATCAAATATTATTTAAATATAAAGTCAACACATATGAAACCTATTAATGTGTTCTTTCCTTTTATTTTTTTTTTACAGAAGAATTAATCTTTTCAATTTATATAAAAAGAAACTTTTAGTCAAAAAACTATGTAAGAATTATTCTAAGATCATAATACAAACCTTTGCTACAATTGTAGGATCTGCTAATTGAGGATTAATTTCATCTTGATTTTTATTGTTATTATTATTATTATTATTTGTTGTTGTTGTTGTTGTATTCATAGTATTATTATTATTATTTATATTTGAATTATTACGAATAATTTGTACTTTCATTCGAGCATATATCATTGGTGAAGCAGTTAAAATAAGTAAATGTTGATCATCAAGAATAAATTTTCCACGACGATAATAAAGTTTAGGTGATGGAACATTATTTGATTGTGTCCATTTTATTGTTCGAACAAGAATTTGATGAAAAAGACTTTCTAAACAAAAAATATATAGAAATTTAATTAAAAACAAAAAAAAAATTTGTTTTTTTTTTCCTTTTATTTTATTTACCAGGAAAATACTCATCAAATAAATAATAAAATACAACTGATTGTTCATCTTTTTCTGTTAAAATTTTTTCATTATATGTTTTTCGTATACAACCTGGAACATAATATTGTTTACATATAGTTGTTGGTTTTGTTGTTGGTGATGATGATATACGTTCACAAAGAAGATCAAATTTTTTTAATAATGCTAAAAGACTTTGTTTTTGTTCAATAAATGGTTGGCAAAGATTTTCAAATGTACGTTCATCAATAATACCATCATCATTTTCATTTTCCATATTATCATTATAAACAAGACGTTTAATAAGTTGAATTAATTTTTGTGGACGTAAGATTAATGTATTTTTTAAAAACATATCTTGTGTATTACCAAAATAAACAATAACACCAAGATCATGATAAAAATCTAATAAAGTTTTAAGTTCATCCGATGAACAAATATTTTGTGTACGAGCTATTTCACAAATCTATTAAAATAGATAAATTTATAAAACAAAAAAAATCAAGTTAAAATGTAATTTATACTTGATCGAGTGAAGCATAAAAGTTATCCTGTTGTGTTTTTAAACGATTAAGATCATTTTCAAATTGAAGCCAACGAGTTGGAATTTCTTCATCCATATAAGATTCACCTAAGGCTACTTCTTCAATTAATCGTTTTAATTGATTGATCTAAAAATATGAAAGAATAATTTACAAGTCTTTTTTTTTCTTTGATTCTTTCTACCTGTTCAAAATCTAAATTATCTGGATGTTGTGTATCAATAGTAAAATAAGGTTCAACAACATGTTTACAATAAGGTTTTGTTGAAATCATTGCACGAATTTCGGCCATTTTATTTTCAACCTAACAAAAACAAAAATAAGATATATATATTAAATTAACTAATAAATAAATAAAAATTAAAATAATTTACAATAATTTTTTTTGTTGGACTTGAAAATGAATTTCTATGAGTACCAATAATAATAATTGGTGGTGATAAACGTTCAATATTTAATTCTTCATCTTGTATTCGTCCTTGATTTATATTAGCTGAATAACAATAAACAGAATGCATAATAAAACTTAAATGATCCAGGTTTGTTAATTCCTAGAATGAAAAATAATATTTTTAATAAATCATAAAAATTTAAACACAAAAAATAGGTGAAAGAGTTTTTTTTTCTGACAGAAAAATAACATCAAAAAATTGTTGTCTATTTTTAGGTTTTCTTTCCTTTTCCTATAAATATGTAATAAGAAAAATAGAAACATTAATAAATTATATTATAATGAATAATTTTTTTTTTTCTTTCTTATGATAATCACCTCATTCCAATCAGCTGGTTGATCTAGATCTTTCGTTAAATCAAATACAAGTAAATAAATTGCTCTTGGTGATAAAAATACCTATTTAAAAAAAAATATGATATGAAAATTTAATATATATATATATATGTTTATTTTTATTGTATTTATTAATTAAAAACCTGATGTGTTATACAAGTTGATGAAGTTGATCCAGGCATATCCCAAAGATCAAGACGTAAACTTTGATATTCTTCAATTTGTTCTTGTTTAACATTTACATCATTAATATTATTATTTAATAAACTAGCAAGTACAGCATGTGGATCAGAAGATTTCATTTGTGATAATTTTTTTTCTACTAATGGACGAATTGATAAAGGAATCATTGGACTAGGATAAACAAGTTTAAGGTCGTCAAGTAAAGTTTCTTTCCAATTCTATATGAAGAAAAAAACAAAAAAAAAATATCTTTAATTATATCTGAAGCGTTATTATTTTTTTAAACTATTTTTAGTTCTTAAATTAGATACAATCATTCAGGCTGAAACTTTTATTAGGTGTACAACACATTATAAATAACGAGACATAGATTTGAAGAAAAAAAATTTCAAAAAAAGATCTTGATAGGAGAATTCCAACATTTAGAATTGACGAAAAATGTGCGATACTGTCACGATTTGATGTGTTGGCGATAGTACAAAGAACTTTTGCCATGAACGAAAATCTTATTGATAGAATTTCGGAAAATCTAACTTTCCATAGGCTATATTCTAGTACATAATGACTTTCTTATGTAATTTCGTCGGTTTGGACTGAAACTATTATATCAAATACTTATAAGTATTCATCAGAAATAGGATAAACCGCTTTCATTTTTAACCTCCATGTTTGGATTAGTAAGGATTCAAAAAGCCAAATAACTCCTTTTAGTTTTAAACTTTTACGCACTTTTTTTTTGTTTCTAGTAACAAAAAGAAAAAAAAAAGATTTCCGGAAAAAGCTCAAAACTACTAATGAACATAGTCTTAAGTATCAAGCAAAAAAATTTTTATTCCATTCGGATATTTTCTGAAATGTATATCTACTTGATTTAGATGGTCTATCTATGGTGAAAAGCTTCAATTAGACTGGCGTTGCATCTTTGTCAAAGAAAAAAAAAAAAAGACGAGTGAAAACGGTTAAGAAAAACAAAGAAACTAACTTTATCCTTTTTTTCATGAACTGTATGTAATTCATAACGTCGTTTTAATAGATTAAGAATAATATTATGTACTAAATGAGATTCATATTCTTGTTGTTGAATTGTTAATTTTGATGTTTCACGTTCATCTAAGTTATATTAAAAAAAAATAATTAATTAATTAATTAAAAATTTATTTATTCTTTTACTACAATCTTGAATAATTGTTGATAATGAACGATAATTAAAATGATTTGGTTTTGATAAAGACCAAATATGATTTTGATCAATATTTATCGAACATGATGATGAAAGATCTGTTGATAAATTGTCACTAATATATTAAAAATTACAAACATTTGGTTTTTTTTTAATAATAAAATAAATAAATATTTACTTACATATCATAACTATCTTTATTTGTAATAAGAACTTGTTTAAGTTGAGTTTTTCCACTTGATTTAGGTCCAACAAGTAATAATAAAGTACGACGTATAGATGTTGTACCAGTATCACAAGCTGTTTGAAAATGTCGAATAGCATCAGATCCTCGTGCTTTGATTTCATATGGAACATTATCATCTATTTAATGAGTAAAACAAAAAAGAAAAATAAAATGATTTCCTTTTTTTTTTTATTTTACCATCTCGAATAAGTTGAATTTTAATTGTATTACCAAATAGATCAAAAACAAGACGAAGAGGAAGAAATCCATTAATATTTACATCAATTTGATTACTATCAATTAAAGTTCCACGTAAAACATGATTTATTGCATAATTTAAACAACGATTTTGTGTTAACCATACAGTTAATCGAATACCATTATATAAATGAATATATTTTTCTAATGATATCATTGTATAAAATTGATTTAAACTTGATTCCATTGTTGATAATGGTAAATCATTTGTTGGTATTTGATGACCAGCATATAAACCTAAACGTAATGAACCTTGCCATATAGATGATGGTTGTTGATATAATTCAAATGTTATTTTTTCGAATACATTTATTGGACGATTAATAAAAATAATACCATTAGCAAAACCAGTTGTACGTTGAGCACAAAGACCATCGGATGATATATTTATAGCTGCACCATGATTTGTTCTGTCAAATAATAACATTGTAGCTTTTTTGTCTTCTTAGTAATAGTTGTTGTTGTTGTTTTATGCAAAATGATTATACAATTAGTTTTGCATCTTGTCTAATACTCATCTTCAACTTAAGCTTTTCTTTTCTCTAGTTTTTCTTTTTCTTCTTTTATTTTTTATTTTTTATTTTTTTGATATGTCTCTTTAGAGAAAGCGTAGTAAGAAAGTTGACGGTAAAAAAAAAAGAAAAAACTAGCAGTCCGGAAAAAGTAGATGATAAGATTCTACTGCCGTATGAGATGTGCGTTATATATCGTAAGGTAGAAAATGAAAAAAAAAAAAAAAATGAATCGCTATTAATGTGTTGCTTTCTATTAGTTCACAAACGGAATAAGATAAGAAGAAGAAGAAAAAAAAAGGAAAAGCAAAAAAACTTGTGACAGAAATATAAAAGTTCAACATCGTTTGATATAAGCGTAATAGACAGAAAAGAAAGAAAAAAAAAGCTGTTGGAAAGTACTTTTTCATTCCATCAAGGTTTTTATGATAGTGAACAACAAAGAAGAACATGTTAAATTCTAGTTCTCAATAATAACTGTCTTATAGACTTCTTTTCTTTCTATTATAATCATATTACTGTGAATATCATCACTATTACTTTCACTATTTATTTATGTAAGAATGACAACACGCATTCACTCACGAATGAATTTTTGATGATATTCTTTGTATTAAAATCTAGTCCAGAAAAAAAAACGAAGTTTTTCTTTTTTTTTTTGAGAAAAATTTTTCTATAAGATTTTTTTCCACATTTTCTTTATCTATGGTGAATATTTAATAAAAATTTTCAAAAAAAAAAACAAGAAAATTAAAGGACATGCTTACGCCTATGTTAAATTATTATTCCTTCGATGAATCTATGATAACAGCAAAAGTCCTATGTAGAATATTCACCATGATAAATTTATAAATGTTTCTTTCTTTTGTTTTTTTTTTTTTATTGTTTTCTAAAAACAAAAATCATATAAATTACATTTATGATGAGTACACGTTGACATACATGTACTGACTTATAGGCTTAAGTTGGCTAGAGAAAAAAAAAACAAATAAACCAACTCATTTATCTCTTTTCTTTTTCAATACAATCAAAATAATGATGACTGTAATTAAATGACTGTCTGGCTGGAAGACACGCCAAGAGTTTTATCTTAAATAATCTTTGCAAATCAGATATTCTTTATGATAGTCATGCACTAATCAAAGAAAAAGCATTCTTTAATATAAAAAGTTTCAAGAACTTTTTTTGTATTTCTGCTTTCTATTAATTCAATAGTTCATCAGTATTATTAAAGATAATTCTTCTATACGAGCATCTGTCATTCTTTCATTTTCTAAAGGAAAAAGAAAACCTGAACAGACAAAAAAAAAAAAAAGAAAACGATGAATTCAACAAATATAATAAATTATTGAGTATGTTTATTAAAAAGTAGAGTATAAGTTTAAACGCATTTATTTTTTTATATGCGTAATTATTAAAATTTAAAAAAAAAGAATAACGTAATTATTGATGTGAAAAACAAATAATAATGAAAAATAATTATAAATCTTGAACTAATCGGATTTTTGCTTTTGAACAAAATCAAAGATTGTAGTTTAATTAATATATAAGGTTTGTTGTCTTTGTTATTTGAGGAAAAAAAAAAGATATTCTGTCAATAAATTGATACTTCAAAAAAAAAGAAACACAAGCAGTAACAAGATTAGTTTTCTTTCTTATTATATATTCGTTAAACATTAAGGAAATTTGACAACTTATCCAAAATATATAATCATTTGCTCTGACAAATGACATTTTTTAGATACTTCAATTTATGAAACTAACATATTTAAGAAAATTTCAGTCTCTATCTAATATAATGATATATAAACATCCTATTCAAATAACGAATAGTTCTTTAGTAGAATAAGAACTACACAAATTGTTGCTTATTGAAATAACATTTTTTCTTAGATAGAAAATTTCAATGTTTTATTTTGCTGTTACAAGTACCTGTTCTCATAAGTTTCTTTTGTGTCTGTTTATGATTTCTTTTACATCAATGTATTAACTCTTCGTCTAGATTTACAACTGTAATACGTCTTTTCTTTTGTATTTCATTTATTTCTATTAGGTGTTGATAAGTTTGTTATTGTCAAGAAATTTTATTATGCATTCTTGAACAGACAACTTATTTAACAACAAAAAAAAACTAAAGAAATATTAGGGCTTTTCATTCTGAGAGTACTTTTACAATAATGCAAAGAATTTCTTTTCTGCTTTGAACAAGGCATCAAGGACAAAAGCAATCAAGGGCGTTATATATAAAGCAAAATACTAACTATTTAAAAAAAAGAAAGCAACATAGCGTTATGAAAATTATTATGGGAATTCATTATTGATTTTTTCGAAACAATCTTCTAAATGAAAAAAGTAATCAAGACACTAACACAAAGCAACTACTACTTACAAATATAGTTGCCATATATGAACAATATCAGTAATTGTTATACAGCTTCATACTTGTTCAATGTAATTCACTATAAGATTTTTTTCATATAACTAATTCTGTTCACGTTATGAAATAATCAATTCAATAGAGTTTATGAAAGAAAATGCAAACACAAAAAAGATTTACAATGCTATTTATTTGATCATGCTCTTTTCGATTATTAACAATTCACAAATGCATTAGATAAATTTAGCTATCTCTTGTTGTTAATTGTATTTTCTTATTAACTTTATGAATAAAATGAAACAAATATTCAGAGATAATCATTTGATTATGTTTGATTCTTTTACATTCCTAGTTAGCTAGATATAATTATGATTAGATCATGTGTCAACATGACTTTTGACTTAAAAACAGTAATAGATTATTCATTTTCTTATTGTTTATACATTCTCAAGCATAATTCTATGTCAAATTACAATAGATTTTCTATTGAAGAAACTAAAATTCTCCTTAAAACTGCTCATAAACAAAATATCTTCATGAAAAATAAATTTGAAAAATGATGTCAGATAGCCATAACACATTATGCAGCTTATCGGAGAACTTTTTCAGTTTCTCTTCTTTTGAGTCTTTATGTTTAAATGGGTATGAGTAAGTACGAAGTCTTTATCCCACACATACCGCAGATTCACGTTCATTTTGAGTGACAGGTGTTATGTAATCTAAACTTATGTTGGTATTAATTAAATCCGATTGGCAGTTTACAATATTGACAGGATTCATGGTTACTCAAGTTTCTAACGAAACAAACTCATTAATAAGAAAAAAATCAGTATTAAAACAAGTGTAAAATAATTCTTTTGCTAGTAATCATAAACTTATTCAATGAGAAGAGCGGAAGAACGTGTTATAATTATATGGTTTAAAATAAATCAAAATTTGAATGTAAAGACTAATTTATGAATCGAATAACATATGAAATAAAGAGCAAAATGAAAAAAGGAAAGTTATTAATAAAAAAAAAATATAGATTTCAAATGTTGAAAAAGAAGCATAAGAAACAATAAGAATGAAGATTTTCTCCTCCTCTAATTCTCTTTGAAATGTTTCAAATTTCTAAATGATGTTTTATAACCAGTGCTAAATGCTCTAAAAACTAGATAGATGAAAATAAAATTTTGATAAAAACCTTTTTCAATATAAAAAAAAAAAACTGGTTTTGCATAAAATCAGATCTTTGAAGGTCTAATTTCTTTCTGATGATTTGTAAAAAAAAAAACATTTGAGTGCACAAAAGTTCTATTAACCAATTAATAATGATCCAACAAACCGAATCAGTTTAAAAATTCTCGACCGATCATAACTTCTCGTAGATATTTACATTGATTATTAAAACTTGTTGATTAAATCAGAATAGCTTGGAACATAATCATTGCACTTAACATTTTGCATACAAAAAATTCGTATCACAGACGAACAAAGAATAGTTTAAAAAAAAAGATTTTAATGTCAGTAATCAATATATCTCTATCTAGTAGATTTTTTGAAGTTCTATCAATTATAAAAATAATTAAACTGAAAAAAAATGAATTCTAGAGAAGCATAAATACTATTGGAAAAAAAATAATGTTAAGTTTTTTTGGTTCAATTCGTCTAATCTGAGAAGTATACAGTCAGTTATGCGACATCTGTGGTTGTCTTCAATATCCATCATAATTGGAATGATATCTATCGTATTATCAAACTTTTGGAAGAGAGTATCTTGATTATGATATAAAATGAGCTTATTGTTAATATGTGTTTTGCTGGTTGACACCAAACCAAGATCATATGTATTATCAAAATTTGATCCATGACTTTCTCTATATGAGATTTTCTTGTTTACATAATGAGAAAAAAAAAAGGATTAGATAGAACAATGAACAGAACATAATTGATATGGAACAAAACTAATATGAATTAAGTATCGTATAACAGTAATTTTTTTTGCTTTTTAATTCTTTATAAATACGTGAATGTTAAGTTCATCTGTATGAAGTAGTCTTGTTACTGATGAAATCACTAATGATGAAGAGAAGCAATGAGACGTAACCATATCTGTTCTATTTACTCATTCTTTAATACGTCCATAAATTCAACAAATAGAAATGTACGTTTGTGTTGTCTAATGCATTGAAGTGAATTATGAATATTCCGAGTAGAGTTCAGTCTAATAGCTTCTTACTACCGAGATAATAATGTACTTTTTAGCAGAGTGTTATGGTAACCCTCAGAAAGGGGATGAGTTTCAACCTGAAACTTTGTACTAAGACATACCTTAATGAGAGTATCTTATTTTGAAAGCTTTAGATTTTTCAATTGCCTCTCTTCTCAAATAGGAACATTGGAATTCTCCGTTGTATATAAGCGGTATGAAAAAAATCTACTTTTACTATAGTCATATTTTGTGATACAAGCAATCAGAAGATTTGAAATTTTTACAATAAATTAATCTCATTAAGACCTGACTCTACGAAGAGTGTCAAAATCGAAATTCAGTTTCTCTGATATTCATAGCTCATTAGAACCTGCATTATGCGTATGTTTTTGACTCAATAGATTACACATCAATCAATATCCAATCATATATTTATCCTTTTCTGAAATAACAAAATATGTCTAATGAATATTTTTCTTTCATTCTAAAAAAAAGAATTTTTTCTTCATGAGAAAAATAAAATTTTTCGTTTTTTTTTTTTAATTGATTGATGTTATGTTATCCGGAAGTAGAGCATATCCGTCTTAGTATGTCTGATAATATTCATCTTAACTGAATAGTTTAAAGATGACTCTTGACTTCCTTTTATTTTGTTGACTTGTTCATACATATATATATATATTGTTTGATCTTCTTTTCTTTTGCTTTTTTGTTGTCTCTCCTCCCTTTTCTTCGCTTGTCCATCCGATTCACTCAATTTCACACATTGTTGCTTTTGCATACATTCCCTCAGCGGGTTTCTCTTCTTTCTAAATTTACATATTAAAAAAATCACAATAAGTTTAATCGATCTCTCCCTAAAGATATAAGAAAAAGGTGGTCAACTAAAACAAGCATGCATTGCCGACATACAACAAAAAAACGTAATCGAATTAACTTTGTCATTGTTATTTTTTTTTTCTTATTTTGTTTGATGAGTGAATGAGAATATTCGCTTGAATCATCATTGTGATGTCGTGCAATAACTTTCCGACTATTTTACATAGGAAAATCCCCCCCCCCCCCCCCAAAAAAAAGCAACATTTATTTTCTATAAGTCATATATCTGTATTGAATCTTATCACTTTTTTTTTTTTTGTTTTGTTAAAATTGAGTGATCTACCACCTTTTTAATCTTTCCTCAAGGCATTTAAGAATCAATCAATAAAACACGACACTTTATATAAAAATTGAATATCTATTGATGCGAAACGAATTTTTGTTTTTTTCTTTGTCTTGATATATTTTTAAATACAACCATTGAAAGAAAGAAACAACAGCAACAACAATGACAACAATTAATAATAATGACAATGAGAAAAGAAGAAGAAGAAAAAAAATTTCAAGACAACAACATATCAATCAAGATAAAATACTGTCTTTTGTACATGAATAAATTCACATGGAATCAAATGTAAGAATATCGGCTATGAAAAGACAAAATAGAATTAAGAAATTATTTAAAAACAAAAAAAAAACTTACGTTCACGTTGTCGTTTTTTTGCTTTCATACGACGATTTTGAAACCAAATCTAAAAATATATTTTAGTATAGAAAATACAAAAAAAAAGAAATTGTACTTTCACTTGTGTTTCATTTAATTGAAGTGATGCGGCAATTTCAATACGTCTTGCTCTTGTTAAATAACGACTAAAATGAAATTCTTTTTCCAATTCCTAAATAAAACACATAAAAAAAAAAAATGATTTTCACTTTCTTCTCTATCTTACTGTTAATTGTTTATTTGTAAAATTTGTTCGACCAGCATTATTATTTAACATAGAATTTGATGATGATCCATTCACTAGTGATGTACCATTATTATAATTATAATCAGTCGGTTTTCCTTCAAATAAACATATGTATATTTCTTATCATTATGTATTACAACATCATTGCAAGAAAAAAAAAAAGAAGAGAGAGACAGAAAGCGAACAAGTGATGATAGATGATATTTTGATCTTTCTTTAACTATAAATGGCATAATTTTAATCAAGAAAGTGATCGATTCTCTTTTAATATAGAACTATATCGATCATCTATCGTGACATGATGTTCAACAATTGGTAGATAGTATAACTGATGAATTAAACAAATAGAAAATTAAAAAAAAAAAAAGACAAGAAAAAAAAATGCTTCATCATCTATTTGTTGGACACCTGTGTGTGTGTGTGTATGTGCAAAATAATATTTATCTTTCTATCTGATGGAATACATTTCAGGACGACACATACACTAATATTATTTTCTATTCATATGAAAGAAAAAAGATTTTTATCAAGATTAAAAATCAAAAAAACAAAAAAAACATATGTTCAAATTTACCTGCTGTTTTAGCTGGTGTACGTTTTATTTGCATCCATTTATATTTAGCTTCACTTGTAACAATTGAAAGAGGTTTTTCATCTAGAGATGATTGTTCAATATGTCGATATTGTTGTTGTTGTTGTTGGGATGGATTATTAAAAGATGATGATGATGATGTTGATGATGATGATGCTTCATTATTAGATAATGGTATTGATGAATAATTATTTTGTTCAGATAATTGTGAATTATTTAAATAAATATTACATTGTTCAAATGATTGAATTGGATGATATATTGATCCATCATTTGTTCCTGTACCTGTTGTTGCTGCTCCTGCTCCTGCTGTTGTTGTTGTTGTTATCCATGATGATGATGATGGTGGTGGTGATGTTTGAGAATTATCAATACAAAATTGTTCATATGTATTTACTGGAATATTTGTTGATGAAGGTGATGATGATGTATATGTTTCATAAACAGATGATGGTTGAGAATCTAATGTACAAATATTTGGTGAACGATATATTTGATGATGATGTTTAGTACAATAGGATGGTGGTGGATTATAAATATAATTATCATCAAGTAAATTATAATGATTTTGTTGATGTATATCAATAATTGAATTGTTATTCGATGTATAAGTATCAATTGGTGTTTGTAGAACAGATGTTGTTGTTGTTGTACTACTAGTTAAGTGAAAGTGATGGTTTGATTGAAGAATTGTATTCGAATTATGTGTTTGTAGGTGTTGGTGTTGGTATCGATTCATCATGATAGATGATGATGGAGATTGATGTGTTTTTTTTTCTGTATGTTCTTCTTCTTCTTTTCGGTTTTGTTCGTTCTGTGTATGTTTTCTTTTTTTTTTTTTTTTTTTTTTGAAAAAATGATAACGAATTGACTTAATATCGAAGTGTTTTTTTTTTTTTTTTTTATTGCAGAAGATCTGTCGGATTTAATTCAATGAACTCATCAATCTAAATACTAAAGAAGAAAAATGTTTTTTTTTTCTTTTTGCCTTTTTTTTAGACAAACAAAAAAAAAAGAAAAAATAAGAATGATAGATTCTTCTTGCATTTGTTGTGAAATATGAGATTGATCATATAAGGGTTATGGTGTATTTTCTCTCTCTTCGTTAGTTTATCGATGTAAGTTTTTTTCTTTCTTTCTTTCTTTCTTTTTTTTCTCCTTTTGCTCGTTTCTTGATCTTGCGTTGGTCAACATTCTCGATTACTGAAAGATAAAAAATTCCCATTGATCCAAAATGCTTACGATCAACAGCGAATGAAATTATTTGCATACATATATATACATGAAGGAGTCAAGATAAAGGAAGAGAAAGTGAGATTCTTTTTTCTTTCCTTTCTTTTTTTTTGTCATCAGGCTCTTTCCCCTTTTTCTCAAGTACTTGTGTGTTATATTTAACTAAAAAGAAAGAAAGAGATAATATTACGCATCGATGTAAGACGATGGATGGATAATAAAAATGTGTTAATGGAAGAGAATATTGACTAATAAAGAAATTATTTTCTCAGCAGTGTATTTCAATAGAGAGAATGATAACGAAAATACTTTACACAAGTCATTAGCGTACTTTCCTTGCAAATGATAAAATGTGGTGAATGATACGATGTTTTTTCTTTGACAGTATATTAGCAGGATAAATAATTCTTTCTTTTTTTGAAACAAAGTTGAGCATAATTTAAATATGCATTGACATGCATTTCAACTCGTAAGGGAATTTTTTTTTGTTTTTTTAATCGATATAAATAAAACAAGTACCGACATTAAATATTGTCATTCTCTGATGTTTTTATTTTAATTTTCATATCCTGTCGGCACAATAGTCAATTTTTTCTCATTTCTTCTCTCCTATCATCAGGACAGCCAGTGATTTGTGACCATAAAGAAAAAAAATCACGCTCGAATTGCTTGACTTCTTCGTTTTTTTTTTAACTATGCACATATTTGTGAGTCTCTCGAGATTCAAAGAAAGAACAAGAAGAAGAAGAAGCGCATACATATACGAGTAAACCCATTGCGCACACTAACTATAATCACTGAAGTGAACAGTACTCACACGGTGGTGAGCAATACATCGATCGATCATTTCTCTGACGACGTGTCGACACCCCTTGTGCACACACATATATACGGGGCACACAAATAGATAGACATCTCTAATATGCGAGTGCCGCACATATACACACATATATATATATATACTGCGGCAAGTGGAAAAAGGAGAAAATGAGCTAGACAATGACGACAGCGATGAGAAAGCATGTCGAAGGTTGCTGTTGATTGCTATTCATTCATTTTTTTTTTGATAATATCTAGTACTTTGTTAAATATGAAGATATTCGTTTTGAAAGAATGAAAACAGAAAATGGCAAAAAATTTATCTATAAATGACAATTTGATTCAAAATTTTTGATGTTTTCAATGAAATATATATATCCTTATAAACACGTGTAATAAAGAAAATAATAGTTTGAATTGAAGTCTGTTTTAATCTTTTATCTTCAAAATGAAATTAGAAAAGATAAATTTCATTTGTCTGTATTAAAAACACTCAGTTAAATAATGTTGTATATCAAATCATGTTATATCGCCTACGCTTTGTCGCCGCAATATTCTTTCAAAACAAAAAAATATTTATTGTGCTAATATCTGTATAAGTACGCAATATTTTTTCTCAAGATACTTTTGAGGATACACAAATATTCTTATTTTGATTTCCATTAGCATACACAAATACAAGCGTCTGAGTAAAACAACAATTGAATTATACATAAATATGCAGTATAGACTTGTATTTCTTATTATTCCTATTTTGTTGACGATATCTGTTGTTTCTGAACAAATAAACAGTAAGTCATGAACAAGGAACAACTATTGTACTTAGTTTGAATGTTCTTCAATCATGAGCGGCGCACCAGCAAGCAAAGTGTTCGCAATTGCTTTCCCTAAAAAGAATTTTGGCAAGCAATAAAAATTTATTGCTTTTCCTAATTGTTCATGTTTCATCCGTATGTTATTTCTCCATGTTTTCTGAACTTTTGATTATTAAGTAACGTCAATTTGTACTTCTTTCTGCTTTTGTTCATAATCGCCATATAAGAATGTACTTATAAAGAGATCAACTAGCTGCTAACATAAATAATTAAGTAAACAGTTTCCATGAGAAGACCGCAATATTTTCAATTGATTCTTACGTTTATAGTTTCATCAAGAAAGAATAGCTGTTAAAATGGCAGACAATCTTTCACATGAGTATCAACTCGAAAACCAAATGACTGATGAGCGGATGATAATAACAAAAAAACACTTGAGTTTTGCCAACTCGTTCTGAATACATCTGCTCTCAATAAAAACGTTACGCTACGCTCAAATTCTGGCCTTTCTTCTCAAAAATCGATTCCAGGGCCAAGTACATTCAAATTGTCTGAAATTTTCAGATCATGTTGAGACTGACATGGAGACGCTATGGTAAAATTGTCAGCCCTATACCATGATGTTTGATAGAGACATGTACCAAACAAGGGCAAAAAATAGTTCATTTTGAAATCCATTTTTCTCTGTCCGGGCACTTTCAACATATTAAAATTTTTTTTGTTTGAAAGAGTATGTCAGAGTATAGGGTACTACAGAGTCCTTTCTTTTTTAAAATTCTTACTTTTTAAGCGGAGAAAACTCTCTAGAAATGAGCACCAATTTACATAATTGTTTGCATATATAATAAAAAACAAATCTTAATTAAAAAAAGGACTCTGTGGTGCTCTGCATTTTGACGTTCTCTTTCAAACAATTAAAAATATTGAATGAGCCTGGACAGAGAAATTTGGATTGCTCGTGTGAAAAAGTATTGTCTGAGAAAAAACGATAAATATTTTCCGTTTTTTCTGAAAAAAGCCTGTTTCTGTTTTTTAAGAAGTGGATGATAAACGTTATCAAAAGTTTTGTCCCAAAACGGGATGTCGGTTTAAAAACCATTTTGTTTCGGAAAGAGCAGAACGCGAACTATCCATCCATGCATTTATCCTAGTTTTCATTTTTTTGACAAAAATTGATTTTTTTCTGAGGGGGAAGGCCTTAATATACTCTCAAATAAATGAATACTCAGACTTCCGATACTGTGTCTTTGAGAAATTAATTTCTAAAAACACTTTTGCTACTAAGCTTTGAAGTATGGCTCGGACGAAGATATGATCTCATTCTAGATCTTATTGCTTCCCATAAAAAATTGAGCTTGCACCGCCCATGATTAAATTGACTGTGACGCTACTTATTGTTTTGCTCGATACATTCAACCAATCAATTTCAACATTAATATAAGTTACTTTCATGTTTGAGAAATTACAAAAGAACGGCAATCTTAGACTCCAAACAGACTAAATAAGTGCATTAAGATTTAAATCATCAACTTCAACGTTAATTCACTTTTCAGTCTATTTGAGGGTCTTACACTAAAGTGTCTAATTAACAGGAGCACATCAAGGAGTATGCATGCTATGGTGTTGTTGTTCTACAGTTTTATCTTATTTTATGATGTATGAGAATATTTTTTTATACTGTATTTATTGTTTCATTTTCTATTTTTAGATGGCTTCATCAATCGAAAGATTTTAACTGATATATTCAATATGAAATAAATATCCAATGACAGTTGTTGTGAACATATTCAACAAACACCATGTACTCTCTATTTATATATGTGTATATTGAAAAAAAAGAGCTTTTTTCTTTGTTTTTCATTGAATGTTTTATCTTAAGAAATTAAGTATCATTTCAATTTTATTAATCAAAATCTTTTTTTTTTAACATTATAATTTATTGTGCCGTAATCTGGCTTACATTTATAAAAGAGAAGAATAAGAAATGGAAAGATAGAAAGAATAAGGATTCAAGTCAATCAAATAGAAACATATACGAATAGATAAGAAAAGTAATACTTTCAATGACAGAAAGGAAGTCGAGTGTATTTAACAGTATCATTAGAAAGGTATCATAAGTAGAGAAATAGTGACATCTATTTATTAATAATTATTATGCTTCAGATTTTTCTCATAACAATTAACAATTAAGGTGGGAGTAAAAAGTATTTATAAATAAAGATATTTAGGTAATAAGTTTACCTTCTGAATATCTTATGTTGCGGTTTGTGATTCACTTCGAATAATAACCAATCATTTCTACTATGTTTCGTTCTCTGGGATAGTCGATTAATATATTTATTAATTATTTTTTCTGAAGCTCAGATCTTTATACATTGTTTTTTCATATATAGTAGCTATTTGGAAAGCAGTCCAGATATGTTGGTATTGGGTCGCTTCTAGTGATCTTTCAAGGTGAAGAGAGAATCGCGACCAATACGAGTATATGTAATCATACAGTGTTTTTTCTTGACTAAGTATTTGATTAGAGATATCATCCCATCTGTAAAGCCCATATACTATTTTTACTCCTGATAGATAGGTAGAGTTAATCAGTTGTCGTTGCTTTTCAGTAAAAAGGAACCATGTAGAAAAAAGCCAGATAAAGGGGGGGGGGGGGGGGAACAGAAAACGCAAGTAATATTCTACGTCGAATAGAAATTTTCTTTTTTGGTATATATTAATCAAAATCTATATATATTAGGCAATTAATTAACTCTTCATCTATTTTATTTCAATATTATTTTCATAAGAAAAAATAATTTTTATACTTAAATCAAGTTAATTCTACATAGATTTCGATAAACTTTCAATAAGCATCAGTTTTCAACTTATGATTATTTTTAGTAAATTTTTCTTGTCTAATAATAATACGAATGGTTATTTACTATTTATTTATTAAATAAAGATTAATAATAAACATATGTTTTTTTTTTTTCGTTTTTCAAGAAATAATACAATGGAATCAATTCTAAGATAAACGAAATGTAATTGTAATTATTTTTTCTTGAAATTTATTTTGTGTTTTCATGCAACTGAATTTTTAATCATGAATTAAAAAGAAAAATTTTTGTCATCGTTCCGGTAGAAGTCTATATAGTTCGATAGCAGAGGTTCAAATAGGCCACGAGGCCTGTCTACTTCTTCTTCGAAATCGAAGTTTCATCTGAGAATTTCATGATTTTGTTAGCAAATAAATACAACGTTCATTAGTTTTCAAAAAGTCACATGTAAGCGCGGTGAATCAGACAAATACTGAGGAATGAACATTAAAGATATTTATAGGAAATCAATACCCTTACTATGCTGAAGAGATGATAAGCACAAATTTTCATAGTTATCATTATCTACTTGTTATGTTTCTCAATTTTAGTTAAATTAATTGATTCTAAATCCTTTTTTCTGTTGCAGATTTACCACTTATTGAATTTTGTTTCTTTCTTGATCCCAATACTTTGAGTGACATTGTGATCTGGCATGAGAAATTCAATGAAAATATTTTTGAACAAAAACCAGATATTTTCTACAAGTTGACTATCTTAGCATTGTTTTTATTTTGTCTACGTATCATCAATGTTTAGTTCGTAAACTCTTAATTAGTAATGAAACTTTTCAACGTATGTGGGTACCTGTGAAATTGTCAGTACCCACAAACATCACCAACTCTGAAAACGAATAGAATTCGAAATTGATATTATTTATACATCCCTACTGCGTCACGCGTTTTATGATTCAGTTGAAGGATAGCCTTTCTTTTAGATACAGACAGCCATATTTACTTTCACTTTTACTTATACAAGGCCTTTAGAAAATTAAAAATCGGATGATTCAGAAGACATAAATAGCTTTCTATGAGAAATTTTACTATTTATATAATGTTATTCATTTTCATCTAAGTTCATGTTGAAAAATATATATACCGTAAAATTCTCTTCAAACATTCTATATAATGTTTTATTACAAAGTATGACAAGAAAAAGCTACACGAAAAATATTCAAGGTCTCCGAAGCTACCAGTTTTCGGAAGTACGGTGTAGTATTCCTTAACTTTTTACTAAGCAGTGACAAAAGTATAAGCATATATGAAATTAAATTTTCTGATGCTGTGACGAATGTAGATCTAGTCTTTATAAAGAAAGTGATGTAAAAAAGTTGATTCTAGGTTCAGTAACATCATACATTTTTAATAAATTAGGAATCGATAATGAATTGACTTTAATTCATTTTTATTGTAATCGATTCGCTACCAATTGACAATCGATAAAAGAATAATGATTTTAGTCATTTAAAATGAATCTTTTCTGACTTTTACATGAATTGTTTTTTTACCTGAAAGTGTGTCCGCAGTTTTTACAGGTAGGCATTTGTAGCTGTCTCTTTAATGAAGTTATTTGCTTATTCAGAAAGATGCCAACTTTCGCCGAGCGATTTTGACTAGAAATCGATCGTTCATCAGAGAAAACGTTTTTTAAGTGAACTGAAAACTATGCTTTTTTTAATACTCCGGCTGACTAAAATCTACCTTTGAAAATTAACAGTCTTTGTTCTACCCTTAGTTTCACATGCTCTCAATTACAAAGAAGTATGATGCCTTTGTTTAATTGGAAAGCTGACAATTCTAATGGACTTTTCAATGTAGTGATGCAGATTGAATTCAGTGACTAATACGACTTTTTTATGAAAATTACTACTTCTTTCTATGGTATTTTTATCATGATATTAACGTGAAAAAAAATACACGGGTCTAGCCAGGCAGGCCAGGCCTTCAAAAAGTAGGCCTGTTTGGACTTCTGTTCGATAGTGTCAAGTTTAATGATTATAAAGATTGGATATATTTTTGAAAGTATTTAAATGATAACAAAGATTTGAAGAAGTTTATAGGAGATTTAATAAATAGTTTTTGACTTGAAGATTCATTAAAATCCGAATTAGATGAATCAGAAATAAATTTATTTGATACAATTTTTTTTTCACTATTATAATAGAAAAGAATATTTTATATATTTAAGTTTTTCTATTGAAAAATACCGAATAACGATTCAATGAGATGATGTTGTTGCAAATAATAATATTCGAATGTCACAACATGGAAGTTTCTCTGGATATACTAGCTAGAGTTTTCTATCAAATGTGTGATTGGATACTCACAATTTACATCTGAACTCGAAGAATAGCTAAAACTATACTAAAAGGAGTTTTAAATTAGAATTTTTAAAGATTTATTTTGTGAAAAAAAACAATGTTTATAAGTAGCATATCATAAAATCAAGTGTTAAAATCTTTGTCAAGACTGTTAGAACATCAATCTATGAAGAAAATTTGTATTTATGAATCAAAAAATCCATCACATCTCTTTTATATTTGTAAAATATATAGAATTAACAATACAGAGAAAGTTTTCCTTTTCTTTTATTCATATAAGTTCATTTACTGAATAAAGTTGTTTGATAAATAATCGTTCACTATAAAGTTTGAATATATTTCAAAGAGTATTTCAATGAACTTTATATCAATCATGTATTTTTATTATTCTCATTCATTGACAAGAAAAATTAGAAATATTCTTGAATAAATAAGATATATATATCAATGTTTTAATTATTTCAATAATAAGAAAGAAAGAAAGAAAAAAAGAAACAACTTTTCAGTTTTCTTTAATGTTATTTCATATATAATAATAATAGTATTATATCATTATTATATTTTATTTATTCGAATGTTCAAAAATTATTTAATAAAAGATAAAGCAAAATATTTTCATTGATTCTTCTTCCTTTTTGGCTACAAATTAAATTTCTATAGATTTTATCATTTGTTTTTTTACACATAATAAGTTAAATATTTTGTGGATAAATCTATAAAAACAAAAGTGATTAGTTAGGTCTTCTATTGACTATAGAATTCTTAGAAAAAATAAGTTTTCGCAAGTGTTTTTAGAATTTTGAAACATATTAGTAAATAAGAAAAACAAATCTGTTAACCATTTCTTTTAAGCTCTTTTGTTTTTTGATAACGACATAAGACTCTATTATAATACCAATGAAAAAGGATATTTTTAGACGTTTTAAGAATAAAAAAATTAATCTTCAAACTTGGATTTTCTCTAAATTGATAAAATATATAATTTATTTAATTTAATTCAAAAAATTTCAATCAACAGAAATATTAAATCTTAAAAAAAAACTTAAGCTAAAATCTTACACAACACGACAAACAATAAGATAGATGAACATTCCGGATTATATACTTAATTTTTCTGTCTTTGTTCCTATTTGTAATGAAAAAAATTGATTAGATTGAAGTTAGCTTTATATTATTTTAAGTTCTGTAAAAACTAATGACAATAATGTATAATTTGATTGAGTTAATTTCAATTAATTTTAAATTTTAAATTCAATAAACTAAACAAATTGACTAAATTTGGATTTCTTCTTATTTGTAGATTCTTTCTTTTTTTTTTTTTTAAAATTGATTTGAACATTTAAAATGAATCATTTTATATCAATCAAATTAATAAACTATCGTGTAACATCTATGAAAGTTTTTATAAAATACTTATCAACTATTCAATCTAATTTTGATTTGGGTAATGAAATGAAATCATTTAATGATAAAAAACAATTCAAAAAAGCACTTGAATTATTTGATAAACATATGAAAAACAATATTGAAACGTATTCAAGTTTAGTCATTACTCAAGCTTTGAAAGCATGTACTCATATAAAAGATCTTCAACGTGGTTCAGATATTCATCATCTTATTTCATCTCGTATTCAACATGATTTTCACATATTGACCTCATTAATTCATTTTTATAGTAAGTATCAAAAGAAAAAAAAAATGATGAGTGAATATTATGAGCGCTTTTATTATTCGATTATTTATTTTGTTTTATTTCAAATTTTATGAAAAAATCGTTTTCTAGAAACAAAAAGCATAAAAAGATTTCTTAAGTATTGCTAAACTTTTCTATTCATATTTATATTAAATCTATATGAATTTATTTATGACATATTAGCATGTATTTCGTTTTATTTAAAACAAAAACGAATTAATTGAAAATAGTTTTAATTAAATATTGATTATATTGTTTATTTTTGGCAAAGGTTTTGAATGGATTAAAATAATATTATTGATAAAGAGTAATGTTTTTTCATCGATTTAACTTCAATGTATAGGTTTTTTGCTCAAAATTATTTTTATATTTGAAATTAACACAGAAAAAACAGAATTCATATCAATCGATTTCTATATAAGGTGTCTAGTAAGTAATTCTACAAAGAAAAAGTTGAATATCTCCATTACAGCTCGAGCAAGCGAGCTGATTTTTTTTTTTTACTAAAGATAGGGGCATGTTAACACTTTAAATCCATCAGAGATGTCCATCGCGGCGCTGCCGCTGCCGCTGCCGCGATGGCGGTGGCGGCGCGGCAGCGGCAGGTTTTTTAAAAAATCACCGCGGCAGCGGCGCGGTAGCGGCAGATTTTTTAAAAAGTCATCGTGGCAGCGGCACAGTAGCGACAGGTTTTTAAAAAACCATCGCGACAGTGGCAGGATTGTTTTTGGAGGACATTGAAAAACTGTATGGATTTAATAGAATTTCAGGATTTACAAATGAAACGCCCTGATATTGAATAAATCTGATGGACTAGTACCCATATCTCTGGTCAAATATAGTCACAGCAGTGAAATTAGAAACACTTTTTTGAAAACCGTCGCGGCATCGGCGCGGTAGCGGCACGTTTATTTTATAATTCATCGCGGCAGCGGCGCGGTAGCGTTTCTTTTATAAGTCATCGCGGTGCGGCAGCGTCGCGGCAACATTTTTTTATCAACCGTTGCGGCGCGGCAGCGGTGCGGTAGCTTTTTTTTCTAAGGCCACGGCGCGGCAGCGGCAGATTTTCAGCCGCGATGGACATCTCTGAAATCCATACGGATGAGATTAGTGAGAACCTGTGGTAGGTATATTCTTTTCTTTTCCTATCTGTCAACAAGTAAAATTTTCTTGTTGAAATCAATAGTGATACTTAGCAAAGATTCTCACTAAACTTGTCCGTATGGATTTGAAGTGTAAACATGCCTCTATCCTTAATAAAAAAAACTAGCACGTTTGATCGAGCCATAATAGAAATATTCAACTTTTTCTTTGTGAAGTTCGACACACCTAGTTATATATTTCAAGAGTATACCAAACAACTTTTCTTTTATCAAAAGAAAAAAATTTTTTCTTACAATGATATTCATATTAGATCCGTTAAATAAATTCATCGAAAACCAAAACTAATTTCATTGTTCAGTTATTTATTCTATTCTATCTTCTTGATTTTTTCATAGTTCACAATTTGTTTTTTTCACTGATAAAATTTGATTTTTTGTTTTCAATGAATTTATTTAATGAATCTAATATGAATGACATTGTAAGAAAATTATTTTTTTCAAAAAAACAAAAAAAAGAAAAATTGTTTGGTATACTCTTGAAATATATAGAAATCAATTGATATGAATTGTTTTTTTTTTTTGCTATGTTAATTTCAAATACAAAAATTAATTTTGCGCAAAAACCTATACATTAAAATTAAATCGATGAAAAATTTTTTAAACATTGAATTTCAAGAAAATGTTTTCTAACTAGATATCACTTTGAAAGATTTTAGAAACTGTTTCAATTATTAAAATTTTCATAGAAACATTTTAAAAAGATAAGAGAAAAGAAAACTTTATTCTTTATCAATAATATTATGTTAATCAATTCAAAATTTTTGCCAAAAATAAACATAATAATCAATATTTAATTGAGACTATTTTCAATTAGTTCGTTTTTTTTGTTTTTTTTTTTTTATATAAAATACAAAACACTTGCTAATATGTCATAAATAAATTCTTATAGATTTAATTTAAATATGAAAAGTTTAGTAATACTTAAAAGAAATCTTTTTACGTTTTTTTGTTTCTCGAAAATGATTTTTTCATAAAATTTGAAATAAAACAAAGTAAATAATAGAATAATAAAAGCGTTCATAATATTCAATCGTCATTGTTTTTTTTTTTGTTCTAAGTTAATATTTTTCTATTAGTGCAATGTGGTGATGTGAGAAATGCTGAATTATTATTCAACAAAACGAAAAAAAAAACTTTGTCAATATATGGAGCAATGATGAAAGGTAAGAATAATTATATTGAAACATATATCTAATTCGACATCATTATATAGGTTATATAAAAAATAATATACCTATGAAAGCAATTGATCTGTTCAATAAAATTGAAAATCCTGATAAAGTTATTATAATATTTGTTTTCAATGCTTGTGCTGCATTAGGAACAAGTGAAGCTTTAGATTTAACAAAAAAAACTTTAGAAAAAATGTCAAAATCATTGTATTCAAATTCGTATATATTATCTTCTGTATTAGATGCATTAATGAAATGTGGTGATGTTAAATATGCTGAATCAGTATTTAATTCATCAACAAATAAAGATCTATCTATGTATGGAGCAATGATGAAAGGTAACTATTGATTTTAATTATAAAATGTATTAAAAGAGCATCTACAAGTTGACCAAAAAAATCAACGTCATAGTCAATATTTCAAATTTTAATCCAGATTCAAAAATAATAATATCTAAATTTTAAATGTATTTCAATGTTCTATAATCAATTTAATTAATACTAACTTCTAATTACTGTTAAGTTATTGTAAAAAAGAAAAACCTAATGAAATAAGATAGAAGATTGATTACTTAAAAAAATGTTATCTAATTAAATAATTATATATAATATACTCTATGAGCTTTTGTACTTGAATATAAATTATAAATTATAAGTTCAAAATGTTCGAATTTTGACTAAACATTAATTATTAATTTTTTTGAAATTAAATCAATAAAATATCAATATTATTTTTATTATTTGCAAACTATTTAAAGGAAAAATTGAAAAAAAAAGTTTATTTTCCGAATGAAACAGGACTAAAAAATCTATTTTTAATAGAGATTTTGTCAAAAGAAACAAAGCTTGTTTAGTGATGTTTTTTTTATTGGCAAGACATTCTCGATGTATGCATCACAACCTATTATGTTCTAACCTGATAATATTGAGAAGGGAAATTGCGAAACATGTCGTTCGGACACGAAGTTAAAGTATCGACATCAAACGGATATCTTTTAATGTGATCTTATCTAGAAAATATTTCGTTCTCAATATAAATAGACTCTGAAAATGGCAAATTTGAAAGAATTTTGTTTTATGATAACTACTAGATGGTATGCGAGTTTCTCTCAACTACGAAATGTGATATGAAGCACGAATCTCGATATTTTGGGGAAACAATATATGATAAAAAAATAAAAACCGATTCTCAGATTAATGTTCATTTGCGTCTTCAGTAAAGTTGTATACGTCCTACCGAGTTAAAATATTTCTCTCGAGTGTTGTTAATCGAAAATGTTATATCTCCATCAATCAGTTGATCAAACTTAAGATCAAGTTGAAAAAAAAGCCATGATAAAAATCAATCACTACGAAAACTCTATAAATGCATATATCGACATTACTTTAAAGAACATTTTCAATTGATAGTTTAATTATGTTCATGATTCATTGTCTATCGTCAGATCTATTCCTAGTTGTTTGATATCGATATAGATACTTGAATCTTAAGTATCAATGACTATTTTCTGAGTTTTAATTATTGAGAATCATCGAGTTATAAAATGACAAGTTTCGATGTATATATAAAAAGGAAGTAAAAGAACTATGTGGTATACGAGTGTCGATTCGAATACAAAATATGATGCAAAACAAAAATCTCTTGAGTTTTCATAAAAACGATATTTTGTAGAAAATGAAAATTTCATTGTCGAGTTAATAGCAATCATCATTTATAATTAAATTGTATACATATCATTCAATATAAGCACTTTTCAAAATATTAAATTGAGATATAAATATCGAAGTTCATCATAACTCATCTGATTAATAATATAGAATAACAAAAGATATAAAATTTTTTAAGAGAATTTCTTAACAAAACTATTTATTATTATCTTATGAGCATCTGTATTCATATGTTTCAATTTTAGTATAACAGTAAAATGTAAATAGTCAAAAAAATTCAATTAATATTCTTCGAAATCATATACTAAATATATTTCTTAATTCTCTCTGATTACTCTTGATTACTCAAAATCATAGCAAAAATTACAAGTACATCGATGTTTATGAATGAATTTTTCGAAGTGAATAATTTCTACCAACAATATCAAGAAGTTGAATCAGTTGATTGATAGAAAGCATAAGTTTTAACATAAAAAACAAAAAACAAAGCGATACTATATCTGAGAAAAATATTACAGTGAAAATCGACTTATTATATAGTCAAAAAATGATTATTTTTTTGATATGCCAAACAGTATTTTCTCGATATTCGAGTTTTTGCTTTGTACCACATTTCATATTCGAGCGAAATTCGAATACTATCTAATTATATACAGAGAGACACTTATATAATTAGACATCTATTTTTGACTCATTTCTTCTTGATATGATAATCTTTCAAACAAAACAAAAAGTATAAATATATAGAATGAATTTCGGCAGAGAATTTTTGTTTATTAAATGAATTATGTTTGATCCTTGTTTGATGAATATTTTTCTCAAACATCATGGTACAGAGCTGAAACTTTTACTATAGTTTCTATACTACAGACTTAGCATATCATGAAAATTTCATGCCATTTACATGTATTTGGACTAAGATCGATTTTTTACGAAAATACCTTAAATCAATTATATTTTCAAACAATCATAATGATTTCAAAGAAAAATATCAATTTTAATAGATTTTTTTTTTCTTAAATTTAATCATGAAATACCAGTTTTAATCCATTTTTAGTGATTATTCTTTCAAAAAGAATATTATTTATCTAATGTTCACACTGATTTTTTATATACGTAGCTTATTAAAACATATGATAACTATATCTGTAAACGATATAGAATTAAGAAATTATATAATAAAAATAATATTGATATATTATTGATTTAATTTCAAAAATTATTAAATAATGTTTAGTTAAAACTTGAAAATTTCAAACTTACAAATTGTAAAATTAATATTTTACATTCAACTACAAAAGTTCATAGAATATATTATATATATAATTTTTTTTTAAGTAATTAATCTTCTATATTCTAATTTATTGAATAAATAACAAACAAAAAATATTTGACTTATTAAATCATAACCTCATTAAACAATTATATAAGAATATTTTTCTATGTTTTTTGTTTTTTTTTACAATAACTTAACAGTTATTAGAAGTTAGTATGAATTAAATTGATTATAGAACATTGAAATACATTTTGAAATTTAGATTTTATGATTTTTGAATCTAGATCTGGGCTCCGATTCATCCTATAATTCCTATTTTTTTGAAAAATCCTATAATATTTTCTCAAAAAAGTGGAAAAATTCTACGAGACCTGACTTTTTCCTGAAGGGGGGTACAGGGAGTTTCGCCCCCCCCCCCCCCCCCCCCCCCCCGCCCCCGGTCATCACTTTTTACGAGAAAACCGGGTCATGTGAATAGCTATTTCTGGCAACTAAAGCATATACATTTGAGGTGCGGTTCGGCGTACAATACCTAAATTGTGGTCAATTTTTTACTTTTTTTTAGCGAAAACAATCGCATAATTCAGAAAACGAAATCCTATAATTTCGAAAATATTTAATTGGAAGCCAGATCTAGATTAAAATTTTAAAAATCTAAAATATTAACTATTATGTTGTTATTCTCATGAATAGTCTCTCAAATAAAATCTTTTTCTTTTTTTTTTTTTTGTTTAGGTTATATAGAAAATAATGATCCTGAAAAAGCAATTGAACTTTTTAAACAAGTGAAAAATCCTAGTGAAGTTGTTTTCAATCTTTTTTTCAATGCTTGTGCTACATTAGGAACAAGTGAAAGTTTAGATTTAACAAAAAAAACTTTAGAAAAAATGCCAAAATCATTTTATTCAAATTCGTATATATTATCTTCTGTATTAGATGCATTAATGAAATGTGGCGATATTAAACATGCTGAATCAATATTTAATTCATCAACAAATAAAGTATTCTCTATGTATGGGGCAATGATAAAAGGTAATCGTTGATTTTAATTATAAAACGTATTAGATTCAAGAAAAATATTTTTTTTTGTTTTTTTGAAGGTTATACAAAAAATAATTGTCCAGAAAAGGCAATTAATCTTTTTAAACAAATTGAAAATCCAAGTGAAGTAAATTTAATTGTTTTTTTTAATGCTTGTGCTCAATTAAGAACTCAAGAAGCATTAAATTTAGTAAAAGAAACATTAAAAAAAATGCCAAAATCTTATTATTTAAACTCTCGTCTTCTAAATGCTTTATTAGATGCATATATAAAATGTGGTGATAGTTCAAATGGAGAAATTCTTTTTTTAAAAATGAATAAATCTATTGAAAATTATGGAAATTTAATGAGTGGATTTAATAAGGAAAATAATCCTGAAAAAACATTAGATTTATTTAATAAAATGAAAAATGATGGTATTCAAGCAAATATTATTATTTATCTTTGTCTTATTAAAGCTTTATCAAGAATTGGTGATTATTCTTTATCTATATCAATGATTAAACAAATTCCTGATTCTTTTCTTCATGATAATCAAATTAAAACAGCATTAATTGATATGTGGGTATGTTTTGAAAATGTATACTACTATCGAAATTAATTGAATTTCATTATTTCATTTTAATTAGTTTAATTTATTTTGTATAAAAGATTCAACATGGAAAATGATGAAATATAAAAGAGATTTATCATGAAAAAGAATAGATACTCTTTCAAAATAAAAACTTCTATAGAATATTTAACGTTAAATCTCTTCAATGAATAGATTTGGAAAAAAAATTTTTTTTTTATTATTTTAATAATTCATAGAAAATTTTCTCTTTTTTTGAATATTATGTTTAACAAATTTGTAAATAAAAATGAAACCGGAAAAAAAATCGAGAAAGACATTTGTAGAATATATATTTATAATGTATATATGAACTCATCAAATCAAAAAAATCTTATTAACAAAATGACAATTTATTATTAACTTTCATTTTATATGATTTTTTAATCATTTCATAAAAGTTAAAGTATTCACCGGCAGGGCTCATCCGACTGACGAAGGGTGATAATCCTCTAATAATTGAAAGTTTGTCTATCTTTACAGTTAATAACTTTAAAAACAAACACACATAGGAATTTTACAATACTTTTTTCTAAAATACAGAATTAAATCATGTTTTTTCTGAATAAACTATAAATAAAAATCAAAAGACTTTTACTTGGCGAATAATTAACGACTGTATAGCTGTAGACGACATAAAAATATCTGATCTTTAGTATGGAAAACACATTGACATATATTTTATGCGTAAACTGCTTTGTTACTGATCGGTAGCTGTCTTTGGCGGCAAAATTTGTTAATAGATATCATAGCTTGTCTTCAACGATCTTTTAGTTTTCAACAAGGAACAAGATACTTCTTCTAATTATGCATAAATTATCACTTACTCACAATGTAGTATCCACTTCATCAATGAATAGAGTACGTGCCATCGGAAGGAGAGTAAAAAGCAATGCAAAATAATAAAAAATTTCTGATTAGTCAGTTAAAAATTTCTCCTTCACGAAATAGTATCAGCTGCACGAATGTAGTCAGTTTTGATAGCTTAAAAGTTTTTTTTTCTGAAAAATGTTTACTCTTTGTACTTCCAGAAAAGGATGGTTTTTATCAATAGTCGCTAGCAGAGATGTCCATCGCGGCTGAAACTCTGCCGCTGCCGCGCCGCGGCATTAGGAAAATAAAGTTACCGCGCCGCGATGGTTTATAAAAAAAAAAGTCGCCGCGCCGCTGCCGCGCCGCGAGGAGTAATAAACTTGTCGCTGTCGCGCCGCTGCCGCGATGGTTTTCAAAAAAGTGTTTCGATTTTCACTGCTGCAACTGTATTGGACCAGAAATATTGGTACTAGTCCATCAGATTCATTCAGTCTCGGGGTGTTTCATTTGTAAACAATGAAATTCTATTAAATTCATGCAGTTTTTCAATATCCTCGAAAAAAATGCTGCCGCTGCCGCGATGAGCTTTTAAAAACTCTGCCGCTGCCGCGAT